CATTTAGCCAAGCTCTTATCCTTCATCCATTCACTATTCCTCCAAAAAAAACTTGTTCTCCTATAAATAGGAGTTACTTCTGATCATTTCAAACACACAAAAACAACTCTAAGCATTTTTTTCTCACATTCGCTCTTTCATATCAAAGTTCCAATTTTCAAAGAGTGAAAATCGAATTTCTCAAACCAGAGCAATTTCATCCAAACCAATGATCCAAACACCTCACATACATCATGTATAAGTGATCCAAACATTTAAATATCATATGCAACATCAAATTCATCAAGATCATAGTTCATCCCAAGCAAGTTGCAGTTGGATTCGAGCTCATCAATCCATAAGGTTTCAATCCATTCCAAGCACATTAACACACTCCTTGAGGTCTAAGGAAGCTATCCAGATCATCAAAACACTTCTGAATATTGGCATCTCCTCTTGTCATGGTTGTCATAGCTTTCACGAGTTGATCCAACTGATTCTTGATCAATTCAACATTTACTCTTGTAACAAACTGGTTATGCTCTCCCAAGTTCATGATTTGTCCAAAAGTTAAGTCAAGTCTAATACGAGTATCGGGAAACCAATTGTGGGTCGGAAAAAGGTGGATGAGCTCTGCTGTTTCCGACCGAGGAAGGATATGCAAAAATGATGCACAAATGCTTATGTAATGCAATGTTATGGATTCAACAAACACGGGATCAAAGCTTCCACAAAACTCTGAATAACTGTTGTATCGCTGACTGAATAGGCTCATAAGTCTGCTCTTATGAGAAAATACAGGAACACCAGAATACTGGAATAATCGGAATACCCGAATACCAGGCTAATAAGTTTGCCCTGATAAGAAAACCAAAAACCAGGTTGGTTGAAAGTCAAGGTTTTCTGCAAAAACCCATCCCCTCTCACATGTGGGTTCTAGTCTTGGACGGTACGACATCCTATGCAGGTCATCAGTTTCACGAACTCTCAGGCCGAGAAACAATAATACGTTCACCATTTCTGGTTTGGCATCATGGTCAATCAAGGAGGTCTTAACTGACTTCCCAAATAAACGGTCTCCAGAGTCATTAGCTTTCTAATTCAATACCCTTTCAACTGCCCTAAATGTACAGGATAGGAGGTCTCCAAAGAAAACCACGTCTGGACGCAGATTTTGCGTGAACTTTTGCGTGTCAAGATGCCACACAAGTCCATAATACTCTCCACACTAATCATGTGTGTATACTCAAGCCTGAGTATTAGGCTTATCTCTCATGGAACAACCCAACAACATATCAACAACAACATAATATAATATGCAACAGTAAAATGAAAATGCAATAATATACAACAGATAATGTACATAAAAGCAAATAGCTGCACAAAAGTAAACACCCAAGGAACAGAAACAGACAAGTGGTAGGATTGACTTGCATAGGGAACCAAAGATTCTGGGTTCGGTCTCCAGCAGAGTCGCCAACTGTCGCAACTACGAAAAACAACCGGTGGAAAAATAGAAGAGTCGCCACCGAACATAATTTATCCCAAAGAAGGGAAAGGAAACGATCGAAGAAAACCTAAAGAATGGTAAAAGACAAAGTTATCGCAACCAAATCTTGGATTCAGGAGTCAGTTACGCAAGGGGAAGGTATGAGCACCCCTCACATCCGTTGTACTCAACGAGATCCATGCTTATTATCTAATCAAATAGTGTGTTATCTAAAAGCTACTACTAAACGGAAACACGAACAAAGAAAAAGGAAAGAAACTCGATAGGATATCGCCGCCCTATGCCTACGTATTCCCTCATGCAATGGGAAAGTCAGAGTCAACATAGTTCAGAAAATTACGGGTGATGGGGGAAGATTGCTCGCCAAGACATCATCGTCTTGTGCCTACGTATCCTCATCTGGTATGAGAAATCAGAGCAAATGTAGTTCGGGTAACAACGAAACCACATGTTGGTTAAGTGTTTTTTATGAGTGACGATAAGTTCTCATTCTAGCAGTTAGGGTTGATGCCTATTTGCGGTAGAACAGAAAAGTAACGTACTCTTTCTGAAAATAAGTTTTAAACATAAATCCCGAAGGATAAAAAGGTTTGAATTTTGTTTGTGAGTTTTAGTGAAGTGGATTAGTTTGCTTTGTGATTCACGTTGCACTAAAGACTATGATATAGGAGCGAATGTGTCGCATATCGTCCACGGGGAGTACACTAAACACTCTAGACAAGTGAGGAGAAACTCTCCACTCATCATTTCCCCTATGCTTAAGGCTCGTGGCGCACAAAGTTCATCGTATTTATTGAGTATGTTATTATTATTTTGAGATGAGAAGAGAGAAATACGCACGGAAGATCTAAGGGATACTCGGTCCTAACGTTGTCATGCAAAATGGCCCTAAGGTCGGGATGCAAAAAGGAAATTTTATCCTAATGTTAGCATATAAAAGATGAACCTAAGGTTGAGGTTAAAAGTGACTAGCCTACTTGTTATCATGCATGTATTGCACTCCTAATGCCTATCCTAATCCAAAATTAATCTGAAATTAAATTGGATTGAGAGTCCTAAGGGAGCATGCAAAAACAAGGCAAAAAAAGAAAGAAAGCAAGGTAAAAGCAGCAGCTACAACAACGCTTCCTGCAAAAAACAACAATAAAATCCAGTAAGGTAGCACAACAGCCTTTAACAACTACTAATTCAGCACAAAAGTAGGTGTAAAAGGCAGGCAGGCAACAAGCAATAGCATAGACAACATGCAAATTTAGAATAAGACAGCTGTAGAAAGCATAACAGCAAGCATGTTTCAATGAAATCAAGTATAAGCAAACACCAATCATGAACAATTATCATGCAAGAATGGACATGCATCAACAATCAAACACCAATGTTCAATAATATTGCATCATCAAGAATCAACAAGATCAACATGCTTTTCATATCAATTCGAGCAATTAAACGATCATGCGATAAACAGAATCAGAAGCAAATACAAACATGCATCACAAGATCCAGCTAGATAATCATCAATAATGAATCATTAACATGATACAACCAAGAAAAGCATATGATCATCGCATCAATCAAGTAACATGAACATGTTAAGCATTCAACTGGAAACCAAAAGTTACACGTCAAAAAATCAAGATCAAACAATCAAACATGATGAAACTAGTCAAAAACAGTCCACACAAATGTATCATATCAATCCATGAAGGTTAGAGGTGGAAAGAAATCAAAACATACTTGAAAACAACCAAAAATCACATTCTGGTCCAGTGCTAATTGATTAACCATTTGCTAGTGCAAACTGGTTAATCGATTAACCACTAATTTTTTATAGAAATTATAGTGGTTAATCGATTAACCATTTTTGTAGTGCAACTGGTTAATCAATTAACACTGCACCAGAAGCAGAAAAACTACAATTCAAAATCACTTTCAACAATTAATTCAATGTGCAATCATACAAATGATCATGTAATCAATTATGCACGAATTTAACACCAAAAATCAGTGGTCAAACATCAATCAAACTTAATCAAGCATTGAGATCACAAGTCACAAAGATTAAAATCACCAAAATCAATCAAAACTTGAAGATCTACATTGTGATTATTCAAATAAGCTCAAAACCAGAATGGATATAGAATTAACCAACCTTCGAAGCTGAGATTTGCTTTGGTAAGTGTTGATCCACTGTAAAATGATAGATCCAAGCTAGAAACCCAATAAATATTCAAGATCTAAAATCATTCTTGCAATAGAAGTGAAGAACAAGGCAAAATAAGCCAAAATTGATCCAAGAATCACTTATAGACTTGCTTCCAAGATCATATCCAAATCAAAAAAAAAAATCAAATGATGAATTGAAAATGATGGAGACGAATGATGGAGGTTTAGCTCTAGAATTCAATGATTCCAATGAAGAATCAAAGAACTCAAGTGAAAAAGAGCTTTAATGGAGGTTTTGGAGTGTAGAAAAATTGAGAGAATTTGAGAGAAAGTTCTAGAGAATGAGTGTGAAATATGAAATTATGAGGGTGAATGGTGAGGTTTGGAGCAAATTCATTTAAATAGGCTCTTGTTTAGGAGTAGAATTATGGTTTGGAGTGAGGTTATGAAAATTGGAATGGGATTAGGAATGGAAAGTTGGAGGGAAATTAAATTGATTTTGAAAGTTAATCCAAATTTAGAGTGATTCTAGATTCTTCTTCAGGTGTAAAACTCAATTCACAAGTGATCAAAATAGACCCGAAAAGTGGAAGCATTGAAAATGACGTTACTGGGCAAAATTTACTATGGTTAATCGATTAACCATTTTCTAGTGCAAATTGGTTAATCGGTTAACCACTCACAAATTTTCAAAAATAACGCCATTTGGAGGGAAACTTGCACATTCGTTTGTTTTCACCTGTTCTAAGCCCTGTTAAACCTCTGAAACTTGTTCTTTGACATTATAACTATGAGAATGCCTGAGATATCTTGTGACCTGTCTCCTGTGCTGAGAATAACCTGCTGAATAAAATAAAATCGATCATTCGATTACTGAGCAAAATAAATGTCGAAGCCCCTGACGCTCGCTATTTAAACTCTTGTAATAAAAGGTAGCCCTGAGCCACTGAAACACCTTGATCCCATGTTACAAGAACCAATGCCATGATATGCAGAAATGTTAAAATGCAAAGAAACATAAGCCAGTAGATTAAGAAACGATGAGGCAAATTTTGGGGTGCTACAAACGGAAGTCCGGTGAAGGAGTTTAGGGTAGACAGGGGTCTTCGTCAGGGATATCCCTTATCTCCTTTCTTGTTTGTGCTTGTAGCAGAGGGTTTATCTGGATTGGTGAGGAGGTCCTTCAAAAATGGAGATTTTTCAGGTTTTTCTGTCAAGGAGACTTGTGTGGTGGATGTTTTGCAATTTGCCGATGACACTTTGTTAATCAGAGAATTTGAACCATGTTTGGGCTCTGAAATTTGTCCTTATAGGTTTCGAATTTATTTTGGGGCTAGGCGTTAACTTTATGAAAAGAAAATTGATTGGAATCAACATCAACTCTCACTTCTTGGATGTTGCTGCTAATTTTCTGTCTTGCAGGTTAGAAGGCCTAGAATTCAACTTTCTCGGAGTTCCGATCGGTTTAAATTCTAAGAGAATTTATGCTTGGGACTTTCTGATTCATAAAAGGAAAGCGCAAATTTCTAATTGGAAAGGAAGAATGTTGTATCTCGGCGATCACATAACTTTGTTGAAGTCAATTTGGAGTAGCCTACCAATCTTTCTCTTTTCCTTTTACAGAGCTCCTGTGAAGGTTTGCAAAGAAATTACCAAGCTGCAATTTTTTCTTGGGAGGGGTAGTAGAAAGAAGGAAGATTCATTAGGTGGCTAGGGAACAAATTTGCTTGCCTCTTTGTAAAGGTGGTCTTGGTTTGAAGACGGTAGATAAGTTTAATATTGATTTGCTCATGAAGTGGAAGCGGCGTATTTTGGAAGGGAAGAAGGCTTTGTGGATCGACATTCTTAGAGCAAGATATGACATTCAGTCTCACCATGACACTTCTTCGGTCAATTGCAATAACACCAATTCTCGTTCAGCTTGGTGGAAAGACATTACCTCATTGGAGAAAAGACACCACGCCAAAGACTTTAAAGGAAAATGTAGGTTCACGTTAGAGGGTGGATCATTGATTCCATTATGGTCAACATTTTGGTTTGGTGAGGTTAAACTGCAAGATGAATTGCCTGATCTGTATAACATTAGCTCTTTGAAGAAAGAGATGGCGGCTGGAATGGGAAAGGAATGTGTGATAGCTGGATTTGGGGAGATCTTGGAATTTCGGCTTTCTCTCCACTGTCAGTTCAATCAAGATTGCAGGAGTTAAAAACAATGCTTTCTTCAATCACTCCTTATCGCTATGTTGTTGATGGTCTTGTTTAGAAACTTGATAAGCTTGTTGGTTACACTGTGAAATCTGGATATGCGGTGTTTTGTTATGATCTACAATCATGAGTTCCTATTGTTGACAATCAAAATTGTTTTGAGATTTTGTGGAAATCCTCTGTTCCGTTCAAAATTAAGGCGTTCAGATGGAGGTGCTTCTTGAACAGACTCCCTTCAAAGGATCATCTTTTGCGCAGAGGTATAATCTCTTCCAATCAGACCACATGTTTGTTCTGCTTTGAAGCAATGGAATCTATTATCCATCTCTTTTTTCACTGTGAAGTTTCTAAGAAGACGTGGCGTGCTGTTTCAGAATGGGTCGGGATTGAGGAAAATCTCTTTCTTGATGTGTGTATCAACTTTTTATTTTGGACATCATTCTCCAAAAGGAAGAAGGTTAAGGTTGAAAAGATAGGTAGCATTTGGTTAGCTGTTTGTTGGAGTATATGAAAATTGAGGAATGATCTTATTTAGAGATGAAGCCTGCAATGTTTTTTACCTTGTTTGAAACATCAAAACTTTGGTTTGGAGGTGATTATTTATTGGAGATATTATTCATTCTAATTGTAATTTTTATGAATTTTGCAAATATCCTTTGTATTACCTAGGTTAAGCTTCAATTGATTTAATCTCTCATTTTGTTTTTGGATAGTAACCGGGCAAGAATATCTCAATACTCTTTTCTTGGAATCTTTACTTAAAAAAAATATTAATATTTTATAATCGTTCCCCATAGTCTTGGACGATGCTATGTGAAGAAGTCTCGTGTGAAAGTCTCGTCCCTTTCTGATATTACAACTTCATATATATACACATAATAAGACATACATTTAGTTGTATCTTCACAATATATACATAATTTAATTAAGTATGGTGTGTATATCTTAAAAACCTAAGTAACCTCGTGACTAATAATACTTAATATATTTAAGTATGGACTTTGTGATTTGGGAAATATATTCCACTCGGAACTGTGAAATTTTCCCACTAAAAAACTATGGCCTGCTAAGAAAATTCTACATTCAACAATAATCAATAAATTTTCTGTCCATTATTGTTTAGAAAATTCATGATACGGTTAAAGAGACAATAATGAGTCACAGAGACACCTCATAATTTTCTGGTGCTATGCTATGCTATGAATATGACATTTTTATTTTTACTATATAGTTTACACCCGTGACCTGAATTAATTAAAATGTACGAGATCAATTAAGATAGCACATGTGACCAAATGGAAATTAGTGATTTTGGTGATGATCAATATATACAATTTTATTTGTTATTACTAACTGCTATTGATAACTATTCATTTTCAACCACATTCTCTATTTTGTCTGTTGGTTGTGACAGCAACTAAACCTAGATGGCACCAAACCACATTTAAGATAAAACGGAAAAGGAAAAAAAAGAAAGAATAAATAAATGGAGGTCCCATAAGCTTGGAGTTTATTGTCCATTTTGGATATATATTTTAGATTTTTTAAGAATAAATTTTGAAGTTGTATTTAGGTTTGTGTAGTTTATTCTCAAAACGTATTTTAAAAACAAGTTGAGTGCATAGAAATCATTTACTGCTGATGGAATGTTTGGTGACTTAACTGCTGAGGTAACTAAGTTGAAGTCACATTCTATGCATAAGTGATGTCAACTTTTACTATGTGCAATCTCAATTGCATTCTTGGCTCTACAAAGCCTAAAATTCAATCCATTAGATACACATATGTTCACATAAAAAATACCTAAGCCTTTCAACAAAGTTGATTGAAAATGCTCCAACAATAAGCTAGGCTAGAACTCTTATGAGCGGTGTCATGAGTATTACATTTGTCCAAGCAAGGAAAAATGGTTGTCATATGCTCTTCTTTGATAATTTGTTTATTTTGATGGTGAATACTCACACTAAATACTTTTAGGATGCGAAATATTTCATGAGGAAGTGGTTATAGTTTTGTACAATTTTTAGATAAGGAAAAATCATATATGACCATGACAATTGCAAATCTCCAATTGGTTGTTGGTGCTGCTTTTGGTAAGGAAAAGAAAGCAAATATGGCTCCAATGGTATTCACAGAAGTTCATGCAGAGGTATTTTCTTAACTCTCTCGTTCTGAATTTCTTATTCGAAGTTTTGGAAAAATATCAGAAACTTCTAGACAAATACAAGTATCTGAAGAAGATGCATGTATCTGAATCAGAAGCATTCTGCAAGTTTTAAAAACAACTATGTGTCTTTAAGCAAGAGTCTCAAACCTGAAAGAAAAATCATTTCTAAAGCCTCTACGGGTTCTGGTGATATCATACAGAAATGCGATAAATCTTTCCTGAAGTTCCTTGCTAAAAGTCTGAATAGAAGTTTAATGGCTTCTATGATTTATGGCGTTAGCAAGAACGAGACAAGAGGTATTGTGTATGATTCTGATGAAGAATCTAATTCTGAAAAAAATGATAATCCTAATATTCTTGAATCTCATTTTGTTCCCTCTGTGAAACAAAATGATGTTAGGCCTAAAGGTAAATCTATTAAAAAATTTAAGGCTAAAATAAAAATTCATGCACGTTCTAATCATGCATTCATGTATAAATATCCTTCACAAAAATCCAAAGTTGTAAAATACTTTGGAAAGACTAACCCAAAAGATGTGGGTACCTAAGGACAAAATAATTTATGTTGCAGATATCCTTAGTAGCGAGGTTAAGACACCATTTATGATACATGGACTATGGATGCTCGCATCACATGAAGGGAAGAAGACATATGTTCCAACAAGACCTGGAACTTAAGCCTAGAGGCGTCGTTGGTTTTAGAGGTGATAAAAAAGGGAAGATTATTGGCTCCAGAACTGTAGGTAATAATAATCTACCTTTTATTACTAATGTTTTTCTTGTTAAAGAACTAATGCATAACCTTCTGTCCATAAGTCAATTAAGTGAGAATGATTATGATATTATTTTCAATCAAAAATTCTGTAAAGCTGTCAGTCAAAAGGATGGCTCAGTTCTTTCCAATGGAAATAGGAAGAACAACATTTATAAAATCAAACTTTCTGATATTAAGAGTCTGAATGTAAAATATCTTATGTCTGTTAATAAAGAGCATGTTGGTTTAAACCCTAGAGACCAATACTTTTGGTACTTATATCGAATTATTTATTATAAATAAAAGACATTTCTTTATTATGTTTGTTTTTTCAGAATAATAAAGTCCCTATAATAGTTAGTCTGTTTAATAAAATATTAAGTGTGACTTAATCATGAGATCCCATTAAATATAAGGATATTATTCTTAAGGTATTCGTAGTCGAACTTTACTGTGAAGTGGGATAACCTTAAAGTATTAAGACTATTATGTAGATAGACTAATGATCGCATCTCATGGATCATGGATAATGAGTTATTAAGTCTTAACATAGGTATAAATATTAGGAGTAATATTTATACTAGATTGACCCGCTATGAGAGTATTACATAGAATATTATGCAAAGTATCATAAGTTATTCTCACGGTGATAGTGATATATACCACCATTCGACCTGAAACCACTATGGATCCTAGATGTAGAGTCGAGTACTTATTGTTAATCTAACATTGTCCGTAACTGGATGACCATAAAGACAGTTGATGGATATTCCACAAAACTTGCTGAGGAACATGAGTGACCTAGATGAAATTTGTCCATCCTGCATAACATGATAAATGTCTAAGGGCCTAATATTGAATTGGACAAGGATGACACGATATATGCCTTGTGTTCAATATAGACATAAGGGCAAAAGGATAATTGTACACACAATTATTATCACAAAAAGTTTTGTCATATCACATGATAATTTTGTTACTTGGGTAACAGTGATGTGTTTCTAGATACCACTCACTGTTTATTATGTTAGATGCGTTATTTAATATAATTGCCAACGTCGCGAAAACCTATAGGGTCACACACATAAGAATAGATTGATAAGAGGTAGAGTAAATAAAGAACACCGTATGGTACAATGCACTTAAGTAGAATACGGAATGTGGTAAGGTACCACGCGCTTAGGTGATATATGGTACACCATAAGATATGATGCGCATACACTTAATTAAGATTTTTAGCTTGCAGCCCACACAAGTGGTTCTATAAATAAAACCCTTGTGCAGAAGCATACACTCTTGATGGAAATTCAGACTGTGAAACCCTAACCGTATTTTCCTTCTCTCTCACACTCAAAGCATTCAATCATAACAGGTAGAACTGAGACTGAAGGAGTCCGTTCATGTGAACTGAGTAGAGGCGTTGTTCATCGTTTAACGCTCGTGATCACTCCTTCGATTTAGCATCAAAGGTTTCATCACCGCAAGAGGTAACTATTTCTATAACTGATCATGAACATTTGTTTGGATCACTAAAGGGAATTTTGCTGCATTTTGGATCGCGATTTCCCTTCAGTGGCATCAGAGCCACTTACGAAACCATGCACTTATAATTGTTTATTTTATGTACTTTCTATTTTAATTCGAAACACAAAATAAATTAAATTATAATCAAGTAATTGAATTTTGACATCAGGTTGTGTATGATTTGGATGATCGATATTGACTATGTTTCAGAATCCGACATTAGTATGGTGAATCAACGATATATCCGAAGGTGAGAAAAATACACAAGAAGGGGAAGTTGAATTATGTTTTCCGTTCTCTTAATTTGCGTATGATAAGAGTTCAAAATCTAAACTACTGTTTAGATTCTGGTTATACTTAGCAGCGAAATGTTAACAGAAACAAACAAATAATAGCAGAAGACACAAAAATTTATACTGGTTCCTCCCAAATGAGAAAACTCCAGTCCCCTTGCTTCACAAGATATTTTCACTATAACCAAATCATGATTACAATCGCTTATGCATTCTGCATAAGACTTTTACAATGCTCAGGCCCTAAGTCTGTGACTTCCTGCT